CACAACTGCTCGAAGCTTTCATCAAAATGCTAAATAACGAACACCTGCAGGACCGCCTCCGTGGTCTAGTGGTAGAGTGTTCGCCTGGAGAGCGGAAGATCCGGGGTTCCATCCCGCGTCATGTGAAATGACGTTAGAAGATAGTACGTGTTGTTTCCGGTCTGGCGCTCGGCATGAAGGGGCTAAACAAGGACTGGTCTGTTCGGAGCCATTATACTGTGTCTGAGTGGGGTATTCATGTTAAACTGCAGCATGGTATCTCAGTGTGCCAGTACTATAAATCTGACTGGTAGAAACCGCCACACCCACGTTCATGCACGTCGCTATATAATTGTAATAATCTTGGACGCGACATTAAACCCCATTTCACCTCATCTCACCAACTAACACCTAAACGTGGACATTTACAATATGGGACAAAATACAGAGAAAATGTAACATGATGCAGGTTGAACGTATACAAAGTGTGCAGCAGGGACCACCGGCTGATTACAATTAGCAGTCAGTTCTGATGTACAGTAAACTACGGTTATAACGAATTCAAAGGGACCACAAATGTTAGTTCCTTATAACCATAGTTCGTTATCAGCATATATTCATCATATAAACAGCAAATGGCCTGGACCAAAAAAACAGTTCGTTATATCCATCAGTTCGTTATAACGTCACCGAGTCTAACCAACCCGATCCACAAAGTAGCATCGTGATGTAAGGTAACACTTGTACACTATGTGTTGATGTAAGGGTAACACGTGTACACTATGTGTTGTTATAAGGGAAACGCGTGTACACTATGTGCTGATGTAAGGGTAACACGTATATAGTATGTGTTGATGTAAGGGAACAAGTACACTATGTGTTGATGTAAGGTAACACGTGTACACTATGTGTTGTTGTAAGGGTAACACGTGTACAATGTGTGTTGATGTAAGGGAAACACGTGTACAATATGTGTTGATGTAAGTGTCACACGTGCACAATATGTGTTGATGTAAGGGTAACACGTGTACAATGTGTGTTCATGTAAGGGAAACACGTGTACAATATGTGTTGATGTAAGTGTCACACGTGCACAATGTGTGTTGATGTTAGGGTAACACGTATATAGTATGTGTTGATGTAAGGGTAACACGTGTACACTATGTGTTGATGTAAGGGTAACACGTATACAATATGTGTTGATGTAAGGTAACACGTGTACACTATGTGTTGATGTAAGGGTAACACGTTTACAATGTGTGTTGATGTAAGGGTAACACGTGTAAACTATGTGTTGATGTAAGGGTAACAAGTTTACAATATGTGTTGATGTAAGGGTAGCTCGTGTACACTATGTAACATAGGCGTTGCTGAAAAAGAAACAGGTGTTTACTATGTAACATAGGGGTTGCTTTAAGAGAAACAGGTGTACACTATGTAAGAAAGGTGTTGCTTAAAAGAATCAGGTGTACACTATGTAACATAGGTGTTGCTGCCACAGAAACAGGTGTACACTATATAACATAGGTGTAGCTGTAAGAGAAACAGGTGTACACGATGTAACATAGGTGTTGCTGTAAGGGAAACAGGTGTACACTATGTAAAGCATGTGTTGCGGTTAGAGAAACAGGTGTATACTATGTAACATAGGTGTTGCTGTAAAAGGAAACATGTGTATACTATGTAACATGGGTGTTGCTGTAATAGAAACAGGTGTTTACTATGTAACATAGGTGTTGCAGTAAGAGAAACAGGTGTATACTATGTAACATAGGTGTTGCTGTAAGAGAAACAGGTGTACACTATGTAACATAGATGTTGCTGTAAGGGAAACAGGTGTACACTATGTAAAGCATGTGTTGCTATAAGAGAAACAGGTGTATACTATGTAACATAGGTGTTGCTGTCACAGAAACAGGTGTATACTATGTAAAGCATGTGTTGCTGTAAGAGAAACAGGTGTATACTATGTAACATAGGTGTTGCTGTAAGAGAAACAGGTGTACACTATGTAACATGGGTGTTGCTGTAAGAGAAACAGGTGTATACTATGTAACATAGGTGTTGCTGTAAGAGAAACAGGTGTACACGATGTAACATAGGTGTTGCTGTAAGAGAAAGAGGTGTACACTATGTAACATAGGTGCTGCTGTAAGAGAAACAGGTGTATACTATGTAACATTGGTGTTGCTGTAAGAGAAACAGGTGTTGACTATGTAACATAAGTGTTGCTGTAAGAGAAACAGGTGCACACTATGTAACATAGGTGTTGCTGTAAGGGAAACAGGTGTATACTATGTAACATAGATGTTGCTGTAAGAGAAACAGGTGTACACTATGTGACATAGGTGTTGCTGTAAGAGAAACAGGTGTACACTATGTAACATAGGTGTTGCTGTAAGGGAAACAGGTGTACACTATGTAAAGTATGTGTTGCTGTAAGAGAAACAGGTGTATACTATGTAACATGGGTGTTGCTTTAAGAGAAACAGGTGTATACTATGTAAGAAAGGTGTTGCTTAAAAGAATCAGGTGTACACTATGTAACATAGGTGTTGCTGCCACAGAAACAGGTGTACACTATATAACATAGGTGTAGCTGTAAGAGAAAGAGGTGTACACGATGTAACATAGGTGTTGCTGTAAGGGAAACAGGTGTACACTATGTAAAGCATGTGTTGCGGATAGAGAAACAGGTGTATACTATGTAACATAGGTGTTGCTGTAAAAGGAAACATGTGTATACTATGTAACATGGGTGTTGCTGTAAAAGAAACAGGTGTTTACTATGTAACATAGGTGTTGCAGTAAGAGAAACAGGTGTATACTATGTAACATAGGTGTTGCGGTAAGAGAAACAGGTGTACACTATGTAACATAGATGTTGCTGCAAGGTAACCAGGTGTACACTATGTAAAGCATGTGTTGCTGTAAGAGAAACAGGTGTATACTATGTAACATAGGTGTTGCTGTAAGAGAAACAGGTGTACACTATGTAACATGAGTGTTGCTGTAAGAGAAACAGGTGTATACTATGTAACATAGGTGTTGCTGTAAGAGAAACAGGTGTACACGATGTAACATAGGTGTTGCTGTAAGAGAAACAGGTGTACACGATGTAACATAGGTGCTGCTGTAACAGAAACAGGTGTATACTATGTAACATTGGTGTTGCTGTAAGAGAAACAGGTGTTTACTATGTAACATAGATGTTGCTGTAAGAGAAACAGGTGCACACTATGTAACATAGGTGTTGCTGTAAGGGAAACAGGTGTATACTATGTAACATAGATGTTGCTGTAAGAGAAACAGGTGTACACTATGTGACATATGTGTTGCTGTAAGAGAAACAGGTGTACACTATGTGACATATGTGTTGCTGTAAGGGAAACAGGTGTACGCTATGTAAAGCATGTGTTGCTGTAAGAGAAACAGGTGTATACTATGTAACATGGGTGTTGCTTTAAAAGAAACAGGTGTACACTATGTAACATAGGTGTTGCTGTAAGAGAAACAGGTGTACACTATATAACATAGGTGTTGCTGTAAGAGAAACAGGTGCACACTTTATAACATAGGTGTTGCTGTAAGGGAAACAGGTGTATACTATGTAACATAGATGTTGCTGTAAGAGAAACAGGTGTACACTATGTGACATATGTGTTGCTGTAAGAGAAACAGGTGTACACTATGTAACATAGGTGTTGCTGTAAGGGAAACAGGTGTATACTATGTAACATAGGTGTTGCTGTAAGAGAAACAGGTGTACACTATGTAACATGGGTGTTGCTTTAAGAGAAACAGGTGTATACTATGTAACATAGGTGTTGCTGTAAGAGAAACAGGTGTACACTATGTAACATAGGTGTTGCTGTAATGAGTGATTGAGCGAATTGGGTTTAACGCCGCTTTTGACAGTATTCCAGTTATATCGCGGCGTGTCAGCTTAATGTGGGAGGAAAGCCCGAAGTGATGCAGGTCTCAGACCTTTACCACTTCGGTAAAACCCACGGGCACGGGTATGGTGATGACAAACCTAGAAACATAATCGGGGCGAACCGGGATTCGAACCCACAATCATAGGTTTCTGGCGAGCCCAAGGGACACAACTCTGCATAGCGAATCGCGGCGCCTTAGACGACTGGGCCACCCGTGCCCCCAGGTGTTGCTGTAAGAGAAACAGGTGTACACTGTGTAACATAGGTGTTGCTGTAAGATAAACAGGTGTATACTATGTAACATAGGTGTTGCTGTAAGATAAACAGGTGTACACGATGTAACATAGGTGTTGCTGTAAGGGAAACAGGTGTACACTATGTAACATGGGTGTTGCTTTAAGAGAAACAGGTGTATACTATGTAACATAGGTGTTGCTGTAAGATAAACAGGTGTACACGATGTAACATAGGTGTTGCTTTAAGGGAAACAGGTGTACACGATGTAACATAGGTGTTGCTGTAAGGGAAACAGGTGTACACTATGTAACATAGGTGTTGATGCAGGACTAGATTACTCAGTGATGTTCTGCTCACGTGGATGATGTGCAAACTGTGCACAGTAATATTGGGTTAATGTTGTGCATGTCCTCTCACCGTGCACTGTTATAGATACTGTTTGTATTGTGTGTTTGTTTTGAAGTTGTTGCATAGTATTAGTCTGTGACTGGGTCCTATTCAATCTGTACTTTTTCTGAAGGTTCAAACAGTTTTCTTGAAATAAATGGCAATGATTTTGAGACATTTACTTGAATGCGTTTCTAGATTGACAGAGTGAGTGAGTTTAGTTTTGTGCTGCTTTTATCAATATTCCAGGAATATCACGGCGGGGGACACCAGAAATGGGCGTCACACATTGTACCCATGTCGGGAATAGATACCGGGTCTTCGGCGTGACGAACCAACGCCTTAACCATTCGGCTACCCGACCGTCCCTTTAGATTGACAGAAATACATACAACAACAAAATCATCATATTAATCATAGTGACTGCCGGTTTGTAACTAACATCAGCTGGTTTCCAATTCAGCCCTTCGAAATTATGAGGTCATACACTTTCATGTGTTTTCTACGTTTTGCCATCATCGCTGCCGTATGCCCATACTTGTCCTTGGCGTGAATATCCACAATACCTTGAGAAAGAATATGTTTCACCATTTCCACTTGGCCACAGAAACAAGCCACGTGCAGGATCGTGGAACCATTACCATCAACTGCAGACACATCACCTCCTTCACTAACAAGCAAGTCAAACACGTCTTTATATCCCCCAGCTACGGCCACCATCAATGGTGTCCTCCCGTATAACCCTCGACTGTTGATATCAACAATGTTCTGTGAGAGAATGTACTTCACCATCTCCGCATGTCCTCCAAGACAGGCCAAAAGTAGGATGTTATCACCATGTGTGTCCACAAGTGAAGCATCGCCTCCTTTACTCATGACTGAGTCAAACACGTCTTTATGTCCCTCAGTTGCTGCAAACATCAATGATGTCCTCCCGTGTACTCCTCTACTGTTGATATCAAGAATGTTCTGTGAGAGGATGTACTTCACCATCTCAACATGTCCTTCAAAACAGGCTAAATGTAGGATGTTATTACCATTACCATCAAATGCAGACACATCACAACCTTTACTAACAAGCAAGTCAAACACGTCTTTATGTTCCTCAGCTGCGGCCATCATCAATGGTGTCCTCCCGTATGTATCTCGACTGTTGATTTCCGCAATGTTCTGTGAGAGGATGTACTTTACTATTTCCACATTTCCTCCAAGACAGGCTAAATGTAGGATGTTATTACCATTACCATCAAATGCAGACACATCACCTCCTTTACTCATGACTAAGTCAAACACGTCTTTATGTCCCTCAATTGCTGCAAACATCAAGGGTGTCCTTCCATACATTCCTCTACCGTTGATGTCCACAATCTTCTGTGAGAGGATGTACTTCACCATCTCCGCATGTCCTCTAAGGCAGGCCAAATGTAGGGTGTTATCACCATGTGTATCCACAAGTGAAACATTGCCTCCTTTACTCATGACTAAGTCAAACACGTCTCTATGTCCCTCAGTTGCTGCAAACATCAAGGGTGTCCTCCCATACATTCCTCTACAGTTGATGTCCACAATCTTCTGTGAAAGGATGTACTTCACCATCTCCACATGTCCTCTAAGGCAGGCCAAATGTAGGATGTTATCACCATGTGTATCCACAAGTGAAACATTGCCTCCTTTACTCATGACTAAGTCAAACACGTCTCTATGTCCCTCAGTTGCTGCCACCATCGCTGATGTCCTCCCGTACTGTCCTCGACTGTTGATGTCCGCAATGTTCTGTGAGAGAATGTACTTCACCATCTCAACATGTCCTCTAAGGCAGGCCAAATGTAGGATGTTATCACCATGTGTATCCACAAGTGAAACATTGCCTCCTTTACTCATGATTAAGTCAAACACGTCTCTTTGTCCCTCAGTTGCTGCCACCATCGCTGATGTCCTCCCGTACTGTCCTCGACTGTTGATGTCCGCAATGTTCTGTGAGAGGATGTACTTTACTATCTCAACATGTCCTCCAAGACAGGCCAAATGTAGGATGTTATCACCATTTATATCCACAAGTGAAACATTGCCTCCTTTACTCATGACTAAGTCAAACACGTCTCTATGTCCCTCAGTTGCTGCCAACATCAATGGCGTCCTCCCGTGCTTCATCTCTCTACTGTTGAGGTCAACATGACCTTCAGTTAAGATGTGTTGCACTCGGCTAAGATCACCCTCCCTGCAGGCTTCATGGAGTATGTTGTCTCCAGATTTTCTCTTCTGATCTCGTTTCTGCTGTTGAGATCTCGAAGGATAGAACTTCTCCATATCTGGAAATATGTTTATTGAGATTTGTTTCACCACAGCTAGTGAAGAAGTACCGGTACTATTTATGTTTACATTCTGAAGCACATTTGTTTCATCACAGAATGGAACAAATAATTGCTTTTTCAAAAAATGCTTTGCATAAACATATAAATTATTCAGTCTCGTCATATCCAAACATAATTTCTGGCATCTCAAATATAACTTAAGAAAGTTGGAAATCAAGGTTAATTTAATAGATAGTTTCGTTATCTGACAGTCTAAACATTTTAATTGGTCATTGGAAATATTTCTTGGGAGGTATTGTTTCTTTTTCTAAAAGTGCAGATATTTGCCCTAAAAGTCTTAAGTAAAATAGTACTTGGAAACCCCCCAAAAGATAACTGGAAAGCTATTACCTTTTACAAAGACAGCTTTACATAAACATATAAATTACTCAGCCTCATCATATCCCACCATAATTTCTGACATCTATAATATAATTTAGGAAAGTTGGAAATCAAGGTTAATTCAATATATATTTTCCTTATCTCACAGTCCAAACATTCTATTGGTGGATTGGCGATATTTCTTGGGAGGTATTGTTTCTTTTTCTAGACATACAAATATTTGCCCTAAAAAGAGAAATAAAATTTTGGCCAATCAACATCATATTCAAAAACAATTTCTAAAATTGTCTCAAGTTCAGGAAAATTGAAATCCAGTTAAACTCGACAGATATTTTATACAATGTATATTCCCACTCCAAACCTTAAGTAAAAAAGGACTTGAAAACAGACAAAAGATAACTTGAAGGTTATTACCTTTTACACAGACAGCTTTTCCAGATCGACTCTCTATACACCTAGAACCGAGACTGCAAGACATGTCTGTGCAGGGACCAGCGGGTACCTTTAAACAGAAGCAAATTGTCAACTGTGTGTTCTCGAATTTCTCCTCCCAAGTAGCACACTGTGTTGTGCTCTGTCAGTTCTTGAAAAGCATCGGTCTTTTGTCCTAGTTGAATAATAATAAAAGCGACAAAACTCGTTCCATATTCATATGAAATCTCTGCTTAAAGCATGAACATGTGTTCACGAACATGTGTTTATGAATCACTATGACATAGTGATGAAGTAAGCGAAAAGATGAACGTATCCTGACCCACCGGTGGTACCCGTCACACATGCATTAATTTTTACTTGACGTTGTCTTTCTAGATATATTCTGACGAAACAATGCAACTGTGCTTCACATTAAGTTCAATAAATATTTAGTTCTTCTGTAATGAAATACTTTATCTTGTAATACATGTTCATGAAGGTATTTCCTCGACTTTAAGGTCGTGATACACAATGTGCACGTGCATGATCATGCATGGGGCACAATATTAATGTTTGCATGTTCGTTGGGGGCATGATACTCACACACGTGTTCTTGTTCACGTGAATAGCACACAGTGATACCAGGTGATCAAAAAAACATTTTTGTAAGGCAATGTCGGGGTAATGGGAAAAAACGAAGCTGACAGATAATTTTAAGTTCATCAAAACACAGTATTATCCCTTTGTTGACGATATCAGCAGCATGTAGATACGTTATGTACAAACACGTGGCGTCACATCCACAAGACAACCGTATTCGGTTGGTGCATCAAGGGAATCGATACCAAACTGACACATTAACAGCTCAGACAGTTCCTGGGTTGAGCCCGGTTAGTGGCAGAACCGTACGCAAGTTGTTGATACGCCGAAGATTGATTCTACGTCACCGTCAGCCACGCCTAGCTTGGTGTAGACATCTGAGGTATACTGATGAGTCCAGGTTTAATCTGAACAGGTCTGATGATCGTGCAAGGGTCTACAGAACGTTTTAGCGATGCTTGCATTACTCAACGTCGCCTGTTTGGGGGTGGAAGTGTAATGGTATGGGCTTATATCCCAACTCATTGGAGAACATAGCTTCATTTTAAATGGCAATTCCAATGACGTACGCTACCGGGACGAAATCGTTCGAGATCATGTTCTACCCTTTGTGGATTAAGCGTCTCGTTGAAGCAGCATCGCCTCCCCCCAAAACATCCCAGCCACCCACAACCCCACCACCAGCCACCGTTCCACTTCTTGTAACAAACTTTTGGAAGTAGTATAACATTGCTGTTCTGCCATTCCAGGCTGTTTCCCCAGACATCTCCCCCATAGTACATGCCTGGGATGAGATGGAACGACGTACATAACATAACCAGAACCAGACTGCAAGGCTACTTAAGTAATTGGGCCAATCTTTGGTTGACATTTGGAACAACACCTCCCAGGCTGTTTTCAACCATCTGTTGTCTTCAATGCGCCGCCGCTGCATCAAGGCAAATGGTGGTCACTCCCGTTATTGACATTGTTAACTGAGTTCTCACCCGGTTTGGGTCCTACTATTTAACGCCCTGGAACGTCCGGGGGCGTCCGGAAACGTCCGGGAGGTTTCATCAGAGGTCCGGAAACGTCCGGGAGGTTTCATAAGACGTCCGGGATTTTGAAAATACAGTGCAGACAATAAAACATGTCTTTCTCAGTTTGGTAACGCTTCCGGACGCTCCCGGCCGTTTCCGGACGCCCCCGGGCGTTTTTTAGTGTGACCGCCCTGTTACCAGGTATGGGTTTGGTCAGTCAATTTGATCAGACGGATGACCAATAGTATGTTGTTATTTTAGATAACATTAACATCACCTTATAAGAAAGGAGGTTACATTTTTCCGTTAGTATATATATAGCGGCTGGTTGGGTAGCGGTGTGGTCAAAACGTTTGTTCGCTGAAGACCCAGTACAATGTGTGAAGATCAATTCTGGTTTCCTCGATTTGTGATATGAATGGACTATTGCCAAATGCGGCGTAAAATACATCTAAATCACTCTTGAAATTTGCCAGTAAATTACTTTTAATTCACCTAACGTAAATTGAGTTCAAACCTAGCAGACCAATATAGAATACATGTTGATGCACTTAATGTCTGTTCTTCAATATGATATAATTACATAAGGAAATAATTTCTGTAAAGGAATTAAACCTTAAATAGGGTAAACATATTTACAAACAAATCGACTTACATCTGAATGATTCTTTTGAAGAACAATAAATCCTTCATTCTTCTCAATTGGATTCGATTCACCAAGTCGTAGACGACAAGTTAACGTTTCATAACTGTATTCGTATCTCAAACAGCCGCCAGTTTCACCACATCTTACTTGGCAGAGTTTGATGCCAATGTTCCCGATAGTAGCAGAACGCTCCGTCTCCTTCTCTGTTGTTTGAACGTCACTTTGTTTGATGCTGGATGTTACCAGTCCTACCATTGAGTGAACAGCTGCTGATACCAGGAACAGCTCCCGAAACACCCCTGAACACAGTGGAGTCATCTTCAAGTCTGCACAGAAGATGCACCAACTACCGACCACACACAGCTGGGTACGACTGCACGACTGCTGATCGACACAACCAAGGTAGACCTGTTGACTTATGTATATGGAAGTCATGTGACAGATAACGTTACCTCTGTACATGCTACATGCGAGATCAATACAGCAAAGTACATCCTGGAACCGTCAACGAAAATATCATCTGAAGTTTACAGAGAAAACAGAATGTGAAATGCTGAACGTCCTTATAGTAAGGTTTACTGGAGCCTTCAGGTATATATATGACATTGTTCATTAATTGTCAATTAGCCAATTCCCTTCCTCTGATTTTTCACCTGAACTAGCCATAATAGAGACCAGTGAGACAGCCTCATCTGTTTTATGTTAAGATCTATGTATAAAGAATCAGAGTGACAAAACCTCTATCCACAATTATGGCTCGAGTGAAGTCTTCATGTTTTCAATATATGTCAAGCAATATTCCAGCAACTCCAGCCTTTGGCGTCTAAATAACCTATTTGAGGTACATTTGTACACGCGAGTCATGCTGGAAGAGTTACAGCATTCAAGTCTTAGTATTGCTTTCTACGTTTTTATGGTTTCACGTTGGAGGGCATTTCCAAATGTTCCCAAGTTTGTTTTGGACTTGCCTTTTGTTAATTAAAACTATGAGTCTAAATATTATTTTTTTCTAAAAAAACCCAACACATTGCAGCAATGTAATTTTTGTCAGACAATTTCTTCCTTTTTTCCAACAGTCTGAAGCATAACTATTTTTTTCAAAATTAGTCTGGGGCAATTTCTTTTCAGACAAATCCAAAGCTCCCCACTGGAATAATCATACAACATAGTATTTGTCCAGTTGTCAAGATGACGGCCATGGCTTGCAACCTAGATACTGAGCACTTTACAAGGTCAGTTAACCAGGTTAACACACGTTAGCCTACAACCATATACTGATCATTATTACCCACGTGGTGAAGATACAGGTGGTAAGATACTAAATCCGTACGTCACACGTTTATCGTACAAGGCTGACCTTGTTTAATTCGTTTTTATTGGATAACCGTGATCTCTGTCACACCGGGACTACTTTTTTCATTTATAAAAAAATCGCGAGACGTCATTCATTTTGCAACTTCAAGGCAGAACTGAATCAATCTCATGTGAGCGAGGGATATTAACAAACACTTTATTAAACCAAAGAAGATAGTCATACGCATCAAATTCTGTTTGCATTCTATATAAGTTATGCATTGAGCTTCCACAGACATTATATAATCGAGCTATATCCATTTACAATGTTCGACTACCGTTCAATAGATCGAGGGTCCACATGAGCGTGACGCACCCGACTACTTTCGCAGCTTTCAATTTGATTGAGCGTAAATTCAGCTGATAGGTCAAGGAAACCGAACCATTTCTGATTGCACAGACGGAACACCGGCAGTGACCGACTGTCAGTCCGATATTCAAAGCGCGGCGCTAATGTGACTTTTCAAATTTGCATAAAGGTGTCCTTCGTACTAACAACATGGTGCCTGAATTATCATAAGTTGAAAAATTTCTTCCAAAATGATCTTGAGCGTCGTTGTTAACAACGTATACAACGTTAAC